TATTAGTAGTAGTAGTAGTAGTAGTAGTAGTAGTATCTTGTAGTAAATGGGATAGGCGTGAGATTATTGAAATTGAACATCGCATATTCCAAGTCAAGTACTCTGTTCCCTGAGCGTAGTTCTACTCCCGTCTGCTAGACAAGGCAAAGCATTCTGTAGAACATCGTCTGTTGAAAGATTGAAGAGGAATGGGAATATAGGACAGCCTTTGTTGCACTACACTGGAAACGGCGAAGGGTGGCGAATGTTGGCCATATGTATGACACTGTATGGCAATACAACTCTCTGAGGACCGATACATACTTCTCTGGTACTCCATACTTCGACAAACAATTCCAGAGTGCGGTCCTATCGACAGAGTCGAGGGTCGCGCGGATATCCAATAATACTGTGATCATTGGTCTTTGATAGGCATGACGGTACCCTAGCAGTTTTCGGCTAGTAAAGATTTGGTCGAAGCATCCACGATCGGCGCGAAACCCTCACTCATCGCTGGTCTCCTCTTCACGCATCGTGTACAATTGGCGGAGAATGACGGATGCCAATAGCTTTGACGATATTGCTATAAGGCTTGTACCCCTGTTATCGAAAATACTACGCACAATGTCGTACCTTTTCTTCCTTCTGTTCGGTGAATGCTTAGGGAATTTCAATTTTCGGTATTCTGTATATGCTCATTCCTTTCCCCTTGCACTGGCGCTCATTGTGTGTGTGTGCCTCTCCTTGTTCCATCCGTCATTCCGCACAGAACGAACGAACAGAATTTCATCAAATTCACCAATCGTGTGATCAATGACATGTCTTTTTTGCTCGAGGAGGCATTGGATGGATTGAAGAAGGTGCGAGAGCTGCAAGATTTGCGTGACGATTCGGCCCGTTGGTCAGAATTACCGAGACAGCAACAAATCGCTCGAATGGGTGAATTAGAACAGCACGAGCGCCAGGTGTGTGTGCTTCTGTTTGTGCGCAGATTTTTACCATCCGTAGTCGTAACTGATACACTATTCTGATTAGCAAAGGAGAACGATTTTCGATAAACTTATCTTACGATTGAATCATTCAATTCTTATTGGTGCCGAGCTCAGACAAGATCTGTCGTCGTTACGCACATATACGGTCCTTATTTCTCCTCGATAAAATTGTTGGGGAAATATGTAAGGCGTATGTCCATATCTAAATAATTCTTCTGATTCTTAAAAGGGTTAAGGGTTTTCCGTTCGGAGTTGTTTTTCATTTTTGGTTATTTACCTTCAGTCATGTTTTTTATCCTTGCCATCAGTTCGTTCACTGATTAGCACAAAGATACCTTCAGACAGAACAGATATTTCTTGAATGGCCAATCGATCGATGGCGGGAAACAGAGCAGAAAAAAGCACGTTGACAAAGGTTGAAAATGCCATGGACTAGAAAAAGGCTCAATTGTAAACTGAGTTAATGCATCTGTGTCTATCTATGTCTGAGCGTGTGTAAATAGGAATAGGATCAAAAAACGGCGAGAGGATTTTCGATGTTCTGTATTGTTACTCCAAGCACTCCAACATTAACAGTATTTGACCCAAGGAGCATTTCGAGGATTCCATTTAAACTGAGCTTGTCCTTGGACAGTACTATTATCGGTCTACTGGCGTGATTTCCCAAGAACATCGTTTCCTCCACAGCTCCTCCACAATCTGTTTGAAAATAGTCCGGCATGACGTTTTGTTTAGTCACCGAGTTCGGGGGAAGCATTTAAGATCGTCTTCATTTTGGGACACATTGTACCATTCATTTATCATCCCAGCTTAACGTAGTTTAGTTAGACCCTTAGAAATTGTTCAACGCAATCATATCAACCGGAACCTTTTTGACTAGCGAGCTCATGTCAACGCAATATTTGCAGCTGATAAACTACCTCGATGGTTCTCCTTGATAGAACCGCCCTGATCTATAGATACCTGCCCGTCGCCAAAGA